GGTACTGTATTTTTCATGGCCCTCCTACATATTATTTTATACAGCTTTAATCTTTGATTTTTCATCGAGTTTTCGAAGATTATGATGAAATTTTGATGGATTTTACGAGAAATCTAGTCTGATTTATCCTTGCAAGCTTGTTTCTTGTGCGATGTTGGCTTAGGTTTGATTCCGATTTATGTTTTTGTGCTTAGTGTTTGGATTTATGGGTTCTTTGCGATCTTTATTTTCTATGGTGGGACTGTTTCTGCTTCTGATTCTATGTTTATAGTCTTGATTTGCTGATGAACAGAGTGTCGAATTCTTATTTTAGGTGGGAAATTGAAAATGGAGTTTTGTCATGTAAATTTTGGGTGACTTCCACTTCCATTGATTTTTTTCAATGCTGTTGTTTTAGAGGGTTTTACTAGACAAATGAACCTGTGTTTAAGAAAATTGAAATTAATTAATGGTCATTTCAAACAAAAAACAAATAAATTGATGCTAACGAATCCCGTCTGCAAATCCCCCATTTATCAGGCAGTTTGCATTTTCTCTTTAAAGAGAAGGTCTGGTCATCTTCATGGCTGCAATCTTGGCTCGCAACTCTCTCAACTCTCTGCGTGCTAGGCACCTGGTAAGAACTCACTTGCTCGTTGAAGCTAATAATTTTTTTTCCTTTTTTGTGATGATTTTACTTGTAAGATGCTTGGTTGCTCAGAATGTAGCAAAATGCAAGGAAATAGAATTTTTAATTATAGTTTTTTTTTTTTTCTTTCCTTTTGAATAACCAATGTTTGGGAAGCCCTTCTCTGTGCCAAGCTCTTTGTTTTTCTCAACATGATTGAATATTTGTTTTCCATCTACCATTTTTCTGGAAACAAACTTTTTATTCCCCTTTTATTTGCAAGTTACGGTGTTTTGTTTTGCTATCGTCTTTGTATTGGTCTTCCTCTCTAATGAACTCAAAAGTTTTTCATTCATCAATTTGTAGGCTGTAACAGGGCAGACAGTGCAGGGTTCATGGCACTATGGTTTGCGATCCAGTGCAAATCCATATTCCACTAAGAAAGGTTGGCTCTGCCTTCATTTTTTTTTTTTTTTTTTTTTTTTTTATCATTTCTTGTGATAGATCTCAAAGTGTTCATTAGTACCACACGTCACTGCATTAGTTGAATGATTTAGATGAGCTGTTGTGCTGTTATTTAGTAGTTTCAAAACCATGATCTCTTTAGATTAACTGGGACAGTTTAAGAAAATTTTGATTTACCATCTGCTAGAAAACCTATCAATTAAATACCTTTTAGAATTTTGTTCAAGTTTTTTAGACTACTGGCATGTTGGATGGACATCATTTGTTGCTAGGCTGCAAGTTCCTAGTCATGCTAGATGAATATCTTGTGTAATTTTTCGTGTCTGCAAACTGCAGATGATGAAGAAAGAGAGCAACTTGCAAAGGAGATTTCAAAGGATTGGAGTTCTGGTAATGTGGTTTGCTGACACACACCATGTGCTATTTTTTCTCTTCTTTTGTGGATCGTCCAATGAACAATTCCTGATGTTGTATACAATTGCAGTTTTTGAGCGAAGTATAAACACATTATTCCTCACTGAAATGGTTAGGGGTCTCATGCTGACGCTCAAGTACTTCTTTGAGAAAAAAGTCACTGTAAGTGTCTTTCTCCATCCATTCCTTTGTTATATTTCTCTGGACATCAGGCATATAATGCAGACCTGTCTTTTGTTATTCAGATTAACTATCCATTTGAGAAGGGCCCTTTGAGCCCTCGTTTCCGTGGGGAACATGCTCTCCGACGATATCCAACTGGGGAGGAACGTTGCATTGCCTGCAAACTTTGTGAAGCTGTAAGACCAAATTTCATTAAAACACCTCTTTCTTTTTCTTTTAATATTATGGCAGTCGCCTATTTGGATTTTTTTTTTTTTTTGAAAAAAAATCTAAACTACTAAATACTCATAGATTCCCATTGATTCAGTGAATCTTTGATCTCTGAAAGTTCGACCCACTCAAACCATCTTAAGGTTCCTGTAAAGAATAATCTTATAAGAGAGAAGTCAAAAGTTGTTGACAATTTTAGTAATCCTCTTAAGTACTCAGTAGATAGATGCCCATGTTACGGTAGCCAGCAAGAGCTGTGAAAATTGAATTATGGGCAGAAGGTTTTCACGAATTCATATAACTGTGATGAGTGAAATGTAAAGGTTTTTTTTTTTTTCTTTCAGGAGGTGATTATATCATTTACTTTTCCTGTAAGTTTCATATATGATTATACCTCATTGCAAAACTTCCTAGTCAACTTCTTCCTATTGTTGAGTCTGAGTACTGCCCCAGCTTAACATCACCTCCAGGCCCAGTGAGCTGCCTGAACATTCTGTTTAGATCTGGCATGACAAGTTTGGAATTGAACTTCTATGTATATACTTGTTCCGTATTCTAGGTGTCTTTAAAGTAAATGTCCTCATATGGCAGTGAAAGCAGGATGTTAAAAATCATATATACTATTATTATCCTTTATTTGGTGATTAGGCTGCCATCATGTGTGTAGTGTGTAATATTGCTTTGTTAATTGTATGTGACGATTATCTTATTGAGAGATGGTTGTTCATCAGATATGCCCAGCACAAGCAATCACAATAGAGGCTGAGGAGCGAGAAGACGGAAGTCGTAGGACGACCAGGTGAAGTATCTCAACCTCTCCCTTTTTGTGGCCCTCCTATTCATCTCCCCCTCCTCTGTATGTTAATTATCCAATTTTGCAGGTATGATATTGATATGACCAAGTGTATCTACTGTGGATTCTGTCAAGAGGCATGTCCTGTTGATGCAATTGTTGAAGGACCTAACTTTGAATTTGCAACTGAGACTCATGAGGTTAGTAGTCATTGCTTTAAATTATTCATGGCAAATTGAGTGGTAAATTGAAGCCATGTTTATATCAGTCTTCCAACATTCTTGCAGGAGCTGCTGTATGACAAAGAGAAGCTGCTTGAGAATGGAGACCGTTGGGAAACTGAGATTGCAGAGAACCTCAGATCCGAAAGTCTATATCGCTGATGTTACCCCCAGTTTCTCATTGTGCATAAATTTTCCGTTCTGGTGTTAGTGAAACAATAAATTGACCAGCAGACTGTGCTGAAGACTCTTTATACTGTTCTGCGTTGTGATTCAGCAACGTTTTGTACTAAATTTTTTTTCTTGTACGCAAGTTATGTAGGATCTCATACACTCCCCAAACATTTATTTACGCTTAAGAATTATTATTATTATTATTATTATTATTATTTCTGAAACGGAATTCAACCCCATTGAGTGTTTTCTATTCTTCTTCTTCTTTTTGGATTTTTAATGAGATTCTTTGTTATTTCAGAAGAAAAATGGTCTTTATCGACAGAATAGCAACATTTGTGGCAAAATCCTAATTCACTCTTCTGTAATCGATATTTTGGCCTGAAGACCCATCAAGTTCTGGCGAGTTTATCAATCTACTCAATGATCATCAACCAAAACACATTACAATATAATGTTAATGGTCAAAGAAGTGTCTCAACAAGTAAAAATTAAAAACAACTTGAAATTGTTTTTAACTTTGAAAAATGTGAGGAGAGATTTTGAGAAGAAAAAGAGAAGTATTGTCAATTATCCAATGCTAACTTGTATAATACGTTATCAAGAGCTTAGCTATTGGGGTAGTATTGCTTCCATGAATTCCAAGAGGGGTCTTCTCCTTTATTTTATATAAGAAAATTATTAATATACATTTTCAACTCCTATTTAGTTCAATCATTAAAACAAAATATATGCATAATTGATTTAACTGATTTTTACACGTTATATACATAATTGTATTTTTAAATTTATTTATCTTTAATTTTAAATAAATAAAAATATTTTTTTAATAAATTTTATTGTATAGTGCTTTAAACTGAATGATGTATTAATTAATATCCTTTTGTATATAATTGTTACCTTGTGTACCCTGACCCTAAACTAGGGTTCAAACCATGTCAATTTAGACTTTGATCCTGCTAAGTAAGTGTCCTTTGAATGATGATGGAAGATGCCAACTTCATTTTTAAATCTCATCAGAATGACAGAATCCTTCTTGTTCCACCATTAAAGGTCACTGCTGCATCCAAATACCCGGACTTTTGACTTAGGAGAAACATTAAATGCTTACTCCCCTCTTTGTTTCCTCTCGTAATTAAAGTTGTCTTTAATTAAATCCAATCAATTTGTAAATATAATACTACTACTACTATAAATTGATTTAATGAGATTACGGGAAGCCCAACACACAACAGCTGGTGACTCAAAACTGTATCTTTATTGCTGCCGCGGATCACTCAAAATTGCCCCCCCTCATGTGCATGAACCCACCCTTCTGCTTCCCTACCAATGAATCTGTAGGTAATTGTTGTGTTGTGCTGTGTCGTGGTGGTGCAATCGAAAGAAAAATATCAAGAAAGTAATCTCAAAAAAAAAGGAAAAATACTAATACTAAAAGATAATGAGACTTTAATTAGTGTTTGGAATTGTATCAATATATTTTTTTAATTGTAAGAAATATAGTTAATAAGTTAGTATCTATTTGAGTATCAGTTGAAGAGTCGATTTGATGATCATGTGTTGCACTCGACCTTACTCCTCACACAGAAAAACGTGACCACTTCAGCAACATTTGGGAGTGCAATTGTATGAATATTTTTAATATCAAAATTATGGTAATCATATTTTAACTTTAGTTATTAACCTAGCTAGTAGGTAGTCAATGCAACTCTCATTAAAAAATTGAAAACCAAGACTCATTACATTTTAAATTTTAAGATTTTGTATAAAATTATTTAAATAAAAAATATTTATCAATTATATTAAGTAAAATAACATTTTAAAATTATGTTATTTTAATAAAATATTAAAAAAATTGAAAACCAAACAACATCACTTTTTCTTTAACACAGCATAATTTAAAAAAAAAAAATTTACTTAATTTTTTTACATATATGATTGATAAATACTTATTTCTTATTCAAATACTCTTAGGTTGTATTTGGAAATATGTATTTGTATTTGATATGTGTATTTGAAATACATGTACTTAAAATACATAAATTTTAAATATATGTATTTCAAAATACATTATTTGGATTAATTTTTAAAAAATAAAATTTAAATACATGTATATTTAAATACATTATTTGGATATATTAAAAGATAATGTATTCAAAATTAAATTTCTTATTAAATTAAACCATCTTTTAATTATTTTGAAGAAATACAAGAATTTAAAAATTGAAATTTATGGATTAGAAGATGTATTTGAAATACATGTAATTTTAACTTTGAAATACAAAGTTTCAAATACATGTATTTAGATGAAATTTAGATACATTACATTTTTTTTGAACAACCAAATACATTGTTTGTTTTTACTAAAATGCAATGTATTTAAATTTAGAACTCCAAATTCAAATAAACTCTATCCAAATTCAAGTTCCCAAACATGTCATTAATAAATTTTACTTATGTATTGATTTATTAAATATATTTTAATATTTTTATTATCATATCTAAAATTTTAATTATAGAATGTTATGATTTTCCTCTTTTCCCACTTTTATTATATTTTAAATCAGTGTATTTCCATTAGTCGAGGGTTGTTGAATTTTCCCACTTCACAGCATCAATTGCATGATTTCCCTTCATATCTTCTATAAAACAGGACAAGGAGCCATTTCATTATTCTCTTCCCCTCTTCTCTTCTTCAGCATGCTCCATTCTTTCTTACTTTAAAATTTCTCCGAATCCATTTCGATTTTTTTCTTAACCATGATTAACGGTAGAGACATCTATGATGTATTTGCAGCCATAATTCCTCTCTATGTTGCTATGATATTAGCCTACGGATCGGTACGGTGGTGGAAGATCTTCACTCCGGATCAATGTTCCGGTATCAACCGTTTCGTGGCGGTGTTTGCCGTCCCATTGCTTTCCTTCCATTTCATCTCTTCCAACAACCCTTACGCCATGAACTACCGCTTCATCGCCGCGGATTCTCTCCAGAAGGTCGTCATACTCACTGCTCTGTTTCTATGGCTAAACTTAGCCAAAAACGCCAACCTCGAGTGGATGATTACTCTGTTTTCGCTCTCCACTCTTCCCAACACCCTCGTCATGGGAATCCCACTTCTGAAAGCCATGTACGGTGATTTTTCAGGCAGCCTAATGGTCCAGATCGTGGTTTTGCAGAGTGTAATCTGGTACACCCTGATGCTCTTCCTGTTCGAATACAGGGGAGCTAAGCTTTTAATCGGCGAGCAGTTTCCCGAGACAGCCGCCTCCATCACATCCTTTAAAGTCGATTCCGATGTCATTTCGTTGAACGGACGGGAGCCATTACAGGCTGATGCTGAGATTGGGGACGATGGGAAGTTGCATGTGGTGGTGAAGAGATCAAATGCATCCTCCATGGCTTCTTCTTTCAAGTCCCATGGATTGACTCCGAGAGCATCGAATCTCACCGGAGTTGAAATTTACTCCGTGCAATCTTCACGGGAGCCGACGCCAAGAGCATCGAGTTTCAACCAGACTGATTTCTACGCCATGTTTCAGAGCAAGGCCCCAAGTCCGAAACATGGGTACACCAACAGTTTGGGAGTCGGTGATATATACTCACTGCAATCATCGAAAGGCCCTACGCCGAGGACGTCGAATTTCGACGAGGAGATGATAAAGATTAATGCGAAGAAAAGGGGAGGAAGAAGCATGAGCGGTGAGCTCTTTAATGGTGGTCTGTTTAATTCGTCTTATCCACCGCCAAATCCAATGTTTTCCGGAACTAGTACTAGCGGCAGCACGAGGAAGAAGGAAACGACGCCTCATAAGGAGCTTCACATGTTCGTATGGAGCTCGAGTGCGTCTCCGACATCGGAAGGGAATCTCCGGCAGGCTGTGAACAGAGCTGCCTCCACCGACCTGGCCGGTATGGATTCAAAAACTGATTCTAAGGCTGTTGCTTCGCAAGCAGCGGTGAACGAGCTGATTGAGAACATGACTCCGGCTGGTGGGAAAATGAACGGAGATGATATTGAAGAAGGGTCGTCAAAGTTTCCGACCAGTGGATCACCGTACACGTACCAGAAGAAGGCAGTGGAAGAAGGAGATGTGGCAGGGAAGATGCACCAGATGCCACCGGCGAGTGTGATGACAAGGCTGATACTGATCATGGTGTGGAGGAAGCTTATAAGGAATCCGAATACTTATTCAAGTCTACTAGGGTTGGCCTGGTCTCTGATATCATTCCGGTGGAACATACAAATGCCGAACATTGTACAAGGTTCCATATCGATACTGTCCAATGCTGGTCTTGGAATGGCAATGTTCAGTCTAGGTACTTAACAGTCTGACTCCATTTTGATTTTGTTTAAGATATCGTAGTTATATGTCTGAAGCAAGATATAACAAGTCAATGCGATTGACTCATTAACAAATAACAATCAAGTAACTTTCATTACTTATCAAATTGTTATTGACTTGTTATATGTCATATTATGTAATAGCTGTGACATATGTGTAGAATTAATCTCTCTTCATTTTACTTTCTTGTTATATAGCTTTTATAATTGATTATTCTAAATGCAGGATTGTTTATGGCTTTACAACCAAAGATCATAGCTTGTGGGAAATCTGTGGCTACATTCTCCATGGCTGTGAGGTTTCTAACAGGGCCAGCAGTGATTGCTGCAACCTCCATAGCTGTAGGACTTCGAGGTGTCCTATTGCATGTGGCAATTGTTCAGGTATGTCCAAATACCAATTCTTTTATTTCTTTTTCAGACCAAGATTGTAATTAACTTACATTCAAACCAGACTTTAAATGATGAGTTTGATGATGTCTATGTTGGTGTCCTACAGGCTGCTCTTCCACAAGGGATTGTTCCATTTGTCTTTGCAAAGGAGTACAATGTTCATCCAGACATACTTAGCACTGCGTAAGTTCCATTCATATCTCTTTTATTATGTAGCCAATTTGGCCTTTGAAATTATAGACTTCATGATTTCAACTTCTCAAGAACCAAAAAACTTTCTCAAGACACACCTGTTTAATCTAAGGATGTGTCTATCTAGGACACAGGATAAAAAATAATAAATAGATATAATTGTAATATTTTTTTAAAAAAAATATGAAATTTTAAATTAAAAAGATAATTTTTGTTTTATAATTTAAAATAAACCAATAAAAAGTTAAACACATGGTATCTATAATTAAAATAAATGTCAATTTTATCACTTTTAAGGTAAAAAGTAATAATTATTAATCAATAATTACTTCTTATCTTGTGCTCTAAGGGTACAGTATAGATAAATCTTTTGTTTTATTGAATATTCCTTTTTTTAACTCAATGTCGTAGGGTCATCTTTGGGATGCTGATTGCACTGCCAATAACAATTCTCTACTATGTTCTTCTTGGGCTTTAATTAAAGCTTTGAAGTAACACCCATGGGAAAGGAATGACATAAGAGGCTTTTGGATGGATTTCAGTGCACAAAATGCATGCATGGGAATTTGTAATCATCTGCATGTGACCACAGATCTATTCAGATTGTTTACTGCTTTATTGACAGTCAATTACAAAGTTATAAATTAACTATTTGAAGCTTTCTTGTTGGATCAGTTAGGTGTATGGGGTTAGATTTAGGGATCAAAACATTTAAATTAGATGCATGTCGAGCAAAATATAATAGAATTTTTTTGTTTTCTCTAGCTTGTATTATTTGACCTTTTGTATTGTAGTACAAGTGGTTTTTACTTTCAATGCAATCTTCCAAATCTTGCCTTTTTAAAAGCTAAGAAACCCAATCACTAGCCCTTTTTATGGGACCTTGGACTTGCTATATGATTTATGCCTTCATAAATTGCGAAATGCTCAGACCATGTGACTCACTGCAGATAAAACTTGATTCCTTTTGGTGACAAATTTGGGCCTCTTGTCTGTGTAAATTGTTGGGATGCACATTACAAAGCAACAAAAATTTTGCTTTGTTTAGCATGCATTAAAGTACCTTGATGTAGTTCCTTAAAGGGACAAACACAACAGTTTGAACATGAATTTCGAACTTGGAGAAATGAGATGAGGATTTGTGAAAGGAGAAGAATGCATATGGCACACAGTCATATAGATTAAAAAAAATACTCTTTATACAAGTCTTGACACTTAACTTCAAACAATAAACTAGTTAAAAAAGTCAAATTATCTAAATACTTACATGAATACAACAATTTATGTGGATGAAAAATTTACACTTGAAATCTCTTAAAATCTCAGTTTGTCTAGATGGTGACCACACCATGTCAAATCTAAGTTGGCATGCCAATTTTTTAAAGAAAATTGAAGGGCATTTCTAGGGGCCACATATATGAATGGGAAATCAAACCAAAACAAAGTTTTTTCCAATATATAAAAACAATGCATGTGTTTAGGTTCCTAGCAAATGTAGATTAATGCAAATTGAAATATAAATGTATTATTGTATGTAATGAGTTGTCACGTGGGGGAGACAGAAGGGTGGGTTAATTTAATTGGAGATGAGATTTGAGATTTTGGGAGTATTTTTGCAGTGCACATGAAGGGACTTGAATGTTTTTCCTATTTATAAGACACGTACTTAATAAAGAAAAGGAGTTGTGTAGACCAAATAGCAGACACCATACATCTAGTAACACTCCATGTGGGTTTGGCTCAGAACATGTTTCTTTTCTTTGTGAAGGATCAAATTTAGGAAATCTAATTAGGGCTCAATTATTTCTTCTTCACTTCCCCATATCTAATACAGAAAAAACCAAGCAGCTGTTTGGTTTTTAGTTTTATTGAAAATATTGACCAAAGAAGGCTGGCATTGCTATTTGCTAGGAATTACGTTATTTTGAAAGCAGACATTTGGAAATTGGTGCAAACTACCGTAACAATGTCTATTACTATTCTTATTATTATTATTGAATTCTCTTATTTTACAATTTAATATAATTTAAACTGTAAAATAAATATTATTGAATGGACAAAAACTACCTAATATTTAGAGATACATTTTTATCTAAAAATAAATATTATACAGTTCAAAACAATTTAAACTATAGAGATTACACAACACTTCTTTTTCTTTATTATTAAGAGATTAAAAAAAAAAACTTATTTTACTGTCTAAATTATACTAACTTATAAATCAAAAATAATTAGCTGTATAACACTTCTTCCAAGATGAAATAGGGTTGAGAGGTCAAATAAGAGGAACCACGACTGCACCGATAAGCGGCCTTAAGACTACATATGAACAAATAGAATCGGCGATAGCTTTAGATTAAGATCAAATCAACACGGATCATTCAGAAATAAATAACCGAACGTTCAACTTTGAAACTTGATCTTCTGTTGAATTTAAACTAGAAATTTTCAGCTCATCATGTACT